ATTGCAGATACGCTTTCGTGACACAATCTAGGTCAAAAAGAGATCCCTGCCACCTGCCTCCATCCATCGAATTGCACCACGATGGTGAGACTTCTAGCTTGGTGCCTACAATTGAGATATAATGAATAGAACTGAACTACGTAAGGCTATAAATACATTAGAAGAATCGAAGATATCCAAAACTTCATTTCGACTGATCAAGGATAGGAACTTTTATTACACATATTACAGATAAGACAATCCCCTAAAGATTCAATCATAGCAATTGCTTATTAATTCATGCAAACTGAGACATACATATGCGAGTGCACTCGCGCACAGAGATAAATGAAAGGAGAAATAGGCATACAAATGATTAATTCACGCATGCATCCATCTACGGATACATGCGTATCCATTTCCCCAATCATGTTACGCATAATACACCAAAAACACTTATCATCATTATTAACATTGGCGATTGAGGATGAAATGAAAATCTAGACAGCGGTAGGATTCGAACCAGCGATGCTGCCACGGTCCACATTCTCACTTCACCTTCAATCATTATCCAGCATTAATACAAGTCTGTCAAGCCATAGCTATCTCAGATAGTCAAACTGATAATAATAATAATGATTATTATTATTGTCATTATAATTATTTTTCTTTTGTTTTGACAATATAAAAACTATCTTGCTCACCCATGGATAAACTCACTTTCTCAATCATCATTCTCACTGATCGACTATTGAATGAATAAGCAAATAATGCGTTTATCAGGTGAAAAAGAAAAAGAAATCACATCATGTTTACTCATCAAATGTCTCAGTCAACCATTAACAATTATTCCGTTCGCTCGAGTACACTCATTTGTTGATTTCATACCATCCTACTGGTGGAGAATATTTGGTCTTTGAGCGAGAACACACTGCATTACAACAACGGCTACCCATGAAGCTTTATTTATCAGATACCTATCCCATATATCTTCAACTACAAAATCATAGACAGTAATCAACAAATGCATCATCCTACTGTACACAAAGGGTCTATCAGAAATCACAACAAGATTACTGAGACTACTTGGAATTGGTGTGGCTCATAAACCAACAAATTTCCTCCAAACAGTATTATGCAAACCGAAGAATCTAACAACCAAAGAAGACAAGCCGAATGTCATTTACAAAATCAACTGAAATAACTGTAGTCAACACTACATTGGACAAAATGGTCGCCCTTTTCGTCTTCGTCTACATGAACACTAATTGACTATTAAACGTCATGATATTTCATAACTCATCTCAACATGCGTGGACAATTATGGACATGAAGTCAATTTCGACAATGTAAAAATTTTGGACAGAGAAAATACAAAGAATATCAGAGAATTCCTAGAAGCTTGGCATTCAGGTCAGTCAGTCAGCAATCAACAGATGTATAAACACAGACCCGATCCATCAACCAATAAGAAAAATGATAAACGACAGAAAGGTCGGAGGTCAAGCAGATGGACAGCCAAAGGAAAAATCTGTACAGTCAATGACACAACAATCGAAGGAAACAATCAATCACAAACCAGTTCATCAGAGTAAGTTACTAAATCACTCATGGAGAGATATTGACAGCTCACTTTATACTGAAATTAATGCTGAGGATGTCGTCTAGAAAGACAATGAAAGCTCCATGACTAAACAACCCAGCTCAGAGAACACAATACAACCAACAACATCATAAGAGTAACTCGAACTATGATACACCTCTGTGAAACACCTTATGTTGTTATATGGCACCAAAAGTCTCTGGTTCGGAGGGGAGTTTCAGTTTCAATCTACTTTGTCAGGATGATTACACTAGTTTCCTCATCAATCTCTACAGTATTAGTCGCTATCCATAAAGAATACTGCAGTCAGTCATGATATATATATATATATATATATATATATATATATATATATGCGTTGGTTTGCATATTCCTCTTTTATATATTGAATTAATCCACACAGTCAGTTGGTGAATTCGGCTGTGAATGAATAGAAGATATACAAGTTAGTAGTATAAATCGCTTTCGGTTATTGTTTGTTTGTGAAGTTTTGAATCATTGACTTAGGGAGATGATGTCTGGCCAATGGATCACAGGTTTGAGCACCGCTCCAACTATCGAAGTTTTCGAGCAACCAGGTAGTAATCGTTAATTGGCCTCATTCAATGGGTGAGGTTGGTTGTCTACTGCACAAATGTGCACAAGTTTGATGAGTGCACAATCCTAGAGAGTCATATTGTCACCAGACGTATCCCGAAAACTTAAACACATATCTCATCATCCTACCCTGTATACCACATGATCAAAGTACCAGCCAAGTAAAGTAATCCTGTTAAAAATACCTTTTCAGGTAGCGATATCAACAAAGTGGATAAACAGAAACACATTCACAGAGGAGAAGCTGATGTATGAAACAAATACTTAACGCGCACCTAAGGTTACGCGATCAAAAGGAAGAGAGAGAGACAGAGATTTGTAAATAAATCACCAATTTTCAAAACCATCTGCTTTGGAGTTGATTATCAATAATCAATACACCAGTGATTCCTAATCTTCATGAGCTGAAAGAATGCGTTGTTGGACAGTAAAGACGAAAGGAAATAATATGACAAAGTACTGTATTGCATATTTGATGTGAAAGAAGTGAACGTAATCGGTAGATTCAGGGTTAATGGAGATCTTATTTATGTCGAGGTGGTAGCGGATTCATCATGGAACCAGTTGGAGAACCATCGAAAACCTGGAAAGACTGAACAGTTGTTTCGTCCTAGTATGGGACTCTTTAGCAGTGGGAACACTCAAACGCGCCATGGATTAAACTCAGAACATTCAAGTTTCACGGTGAATGCGTTAACCATTAAGCACCTATCTACCAAGTTCTTCAGTTGATTTTCAATGGTTCTCCAACTGGTGTCACTCAGTGATGAATACTACCTCATACACTGATTGACGTTAATTACTGAGGAATATTTGTGATCTCTGTGAGATATTATGAACTTAAGTCATTCGTCTCCCTAAGTAGACAGTTTACTACAGACGATAGAGCCATTAGAGTCAAGCATATTTGATATTTAGATACTGTTCAATAGAAAGGAAATATTTTAGACAGATAGACAAAATCAACGTGGGACCTCACACACAGGCACATCAGTTCAATTTGTCACATTTCACAGTAGTATACAAAGAACACAGGTGGATAGAGAAAGAATCATATCAAAGTAGCCAAAGTAGTTTAAGAGAATAAACAATCCTGAATATGTAGGTTAGTAGGAATATTCAGGCTTTAGATGTCAAGGAGTCAATACATCGGCGCTACTGTCAACGATTTTCAGTCATGTCACCAAGATTCCTCAATCACTGATTCTTGTCGTTTCGAGGACCGCAACCACATACGGCTTAGACCAGCAGTCAGGGACTTCATAGACTGGTCACCCTCAACCCTCTTCCCACCTAATCCAACTTCCCTTATGCATTGCACATCGAGGTAGATGGCGGTGGTTCGACATGCGTAGTACATGTTCAAGCCATCTCATCCGATGAAGGTTCACACACTCATCAATCGTGTGAGACGGCTAATGACACTGCTATCTGGCTGTCAAAATCCCGATAGGTAGGGAGTTGTGTTTGAACTCGCCATCCACTGATGGTTGCAGGTTGCTGGTCAAATGCCTGAGGCAACGAGCCATAGCCTCCCTGTCATGATATCGCTCAACTTCTACAACCATAGATGAGCATCATATCAACTTTCACTCATTTAGCCTCTGCCCTTTAACATCACTGTTGCTTATTTTAATATCATTCTATATCAATTCACCTCCTTTCATCTTGTTGTCACCGTATGACAACTTGAACTGCTTCCAAAGTTGATCATATAACGGTTGATTGATATGGTCATTATTTTTGGCTTTTGTTCATGATCAATAACTATGCTCAACTATGTAAAATTCATCCACACAAGTTTTATTCACAAAAATGTAATTACAGTAAGATTTATAAATAAAAAAGGTACTCAGGTGGTGATGAATAATTTATAACATCGACGTACAAGTAAATTTTTCAACAATTATTTATTTCAAGATAGTATTTATCATGAACTGAAATCAGTTTGAGAAGAAATGAAAACATGGCAAGGCACTCGACAACTGTTGACGTTCTAATGTGCATCTTCTAAAGGTAAGCACGCGCCAGGGACTGAACCCAGAATCTTCAGGTTCCTCAGCGAACGCGTTGATCGCCGAATTGGAGTTCAGTGGTCCACAGTTTTCTACTCCTGTCAAAGTGCGAGTTGGCTTGACTATCTACCGATCGTGTCCAACTGGCACCCACTTCATTCCCCGCCTGATTGGCCCTGCAGGTCAAGGCCATGTTATATCGCGAATTGGCAGAAGTAGCGAACTATGGATGATTGAACTCTCAACACACGAAATGAATATGATTAGCGCATTCACTGCAACGATTATGGGTCATAGGCCCCATCACTAGAGAGGTCGTGGGTACGTACGGCTGAAAAGTCACTCACCGGGACGAAGCAGTTGTCCCATCATCCTAGGTTCAAAATAGTTCACCAACTAGTGGCAATCCGTAATGAACAACACCTTGAAAGAAATAAAATCCTCATAAGTCTCATACTAAACTACTTATTTATTCATTTCCCATTGATTATCATGTCAGACTGAATTGATCTCTCTGTCTCAGCGTAAGAACTGCTTCAACGGATGCTTCAACATTGTCTCAAGTTCTTACTTTCATGTTACTTGAGTAGTAATGGTCAGCAGTGAAATCCAGGATATACGTTTTTTTCCATTCAACACTCACCAGTTGCATTTTCCTACATCCTAATCAATGATGATGTCCCCGTCGGGATTCGAACTCATCACCATATAACTCGTTAACCTATTCACTGATTCAAGTGATTGTTATGAAAAATGCATTTTATAAAAAAACTTGAAAAATACGATTATAAATAATGTCAGCATACTTTAGCATTTTCAGCATGCTTTCGAAGAATAGGCATCGGTTGAACAAGTGAACTTGAAGAGTATTTATTGGTAGATTCTTCTGGGTCGATTGAAATAGATTTCTTTACAATCGGCCATCCAGAATCATTGATATCCTCCTTAGCTTCATTACAATCACGAGAAACTTTTTCAACAGACGATTTACACGGTATGAATACAATTGATGGGATAGATTCAGAAGATGTAAATGATAAACTTTCATCATGTTGTTGTTGTTGTTGTTGTTTATCGTCGAGATCATTCAGTATATTTACAGGCTTTAATTTTACGCTATTCTGTGTTGTCTCCCCCTTCACACTGGATGCAATGAACATGGAATGTGGACGGATATTCTGACCACCACCAGTCACCGCTTCATGATTATGTGATAATGGTGTTATTATACGATCCGATTCAATGAATGAATTCAACTTTATTCGTTCAAATCCAATTCCTTTCTTCGGTGGTTTATACGGTGTTGGTGTATCATGATCCCATCCAGTTGTATAATCAGGTTGAAGGGAGGGTTGAGATTCACGTTTCAAAGAGTCCGATTTACAGAAGGATTTGGTGCTGAAATTTTTCAACAAAAAGAAAGAGGGTGGATACAACTTTGTAACAATCACAGTTTGGTGGATAAAACTAACAACTTTTAACTAACGAGGAGATGTAACGAATTAAATCCAGTGAAATATGCTTTAACCTCAATGTATTCCTTCAAATATCAACTCCAGTTAACACATCATACATTAACAACGGTACACTAATACTATTGTAATTTTTGAATAAAGCGAGGTGAACTTGATTAAGGAAGTGTATCTATAGTCAACTGTGGAAATGTGGCTTATCAGTTTAGACAGTCGACTTTCAACCGCTTCACCTACCGAGGTTTGACCAACCATTAACCCTCAAACATTAGAAGTGACTCATTGCCAACCAAAAGAATGTCCATAAGGTGACTGACTGGATTTCTGTTTCTAATGCATAGTTAACCGTTTCGTCTGGTGGATAAAAGTAGGATAGTATAACTCGCCAGTCGAAAAACCGAAAATCACTCACTAACCTTGTTGCACATTTGTGCAGTAACCAATGAGCCATACCTAGTGGGTAAGGGCTAACGGTTCTATGCGGCTGTCCAAACCTTGGTAGGTGGAAAAGAGTTCGAACCCGTGACTCAACAATTGAAAACTAACCCCCTAAACCCGTGAGCGACAGATTCATTATCATTTTTAAAAGATCACTATTGACACAATGAGTATATAATTAAAGTTATGTACTCAATATGTCCATGCAAGGCAGTTAAAAACTTTCTGCTCATAAACTTAATGTTGATGAAACATCATGAGAAGGATTTACAACTACTAATAATATCGAATGAATAATCACGAAATTCCTCTGAAGTTTTGAGTTTGTGTTCTTTTCTTATTTGATCCAATGATTTCCATGAATAACTCGCTCATGATAGCTAAAGCAAACTCCCCAAACATATGAATGTATCCTATATTCTTAAACCAGGTATTGTTGGAGACCAGGCATACGGTTAGTAGCATGTGATATCAGAAAACTGAAAAGCATAGTTACTATTCCTTAGGATTTTTTCCAATTGCTATAAACCACGACTGGCATCAGTTTGGGAACCATTGGAAACCTGGGAGCACTAGACATGTTTCATCCTAACACAGAATTCCCCAGCAGTGGGCACCTACGACCTTCGGAAGTAGGAGAATGTGAACTATCGAAGTCCTGCGCGTTGGCTCACTTCGGAACCTGAAGACATTGGGTTCGATCCCTGGCAGGCGCGTTACACTAGGACGACACAGTTTTACAGCTGTACAGTGCTCCCAGGTTTTTTATGTTTCTCCAATTAATGTCAGTTCGTGAGCAATATCAACTTGAAATCCCCCAAAACCTCCAAATCGATCTTAGGATTTTTATTCAAACCATTCAGAAGATATGATATGTCTTAAAAGTTTCTGTCCAAAGTATTCAACTGAGTTCCAGAACAGTAAGGTGTTGGAACCTCATGTGAATTATTTCGAGATTTGATGATGAATATTACTAATTTTGAGAACCAGAGTTATCTGTTAACTACTTCCTAGTGTCTAACAAGCTACCTGTAGTTCAATAATGTTGTACAATTCGAACAGCAATGAAAATCGGAACGTTCTTTCTCCTTATTAGCAACTGACTAGAATGCAGCAGAAGAAACGTTTCATACACCCAAATAACTAAACCTACATATAAGGTTATCCTAGATACCAGTAGTCGCAGAGAGCGAAAGAAATACCATCGATTAAAATTTATCATAACAAAACAGGAAACTGGTAAAGTATAACATGCTATCAGATTACAAATCAATCGACAAAACGTGTACTTTAAAGCGGGTGATCTAAGTATGAATATGTAGTAATACTAACTTACCTTCCTCTTAAGCTAATCCGTGATATTGGGGAGTTAAACTGACTTGAATTCTGACTATCATGAATAGTTTCCTCGGTATTTATAATGCTTGAAAAACTTGTCAAATCCACATCGAATGAACTAGGCGATGTTGCACGATCAGACGTTTTATTGATTTCTTCTTCCTCTTCTACTACTACTACTACTTCACCTTCCTCTTTGATAAGATCCAATTGAGGATTGGGAGTTGATATGAAAGAATTAATTGGCACATTGGTAGATGATGATGATGGGGAAAAGAAGCAGACAAAGTTGTCATCAATATTTTCTGATTGATGATTGGTAGCTTTTGTAGGTGGACGACGATTTCGAGGTCTACTGACAGCTAGTCGATGCTGTAAACTGATTAAACCTGAAGCATTGACTGATGATGGTGTTGAATTGATATACTCATGTGTACTAAGTGGAGTTGTTGTAGATGGGTAGGGTGAATATGGATTGGCAAATGTCTTTTGATTTGGAGATGAGGAATCATTTGATAAGAGGCTATCTGAACTTCCAGTGGATTTGGCAACTATAGGAACCTTTGGTGGTAGATCATGACCTGGACGCTTTCGTAGTTTTGAGCTCAACTCCTCCTGATCATGTGAAAGTAAACAGATAACAACAGTATGATAGATAAAACGAAATTTAACGCAAATTAATTGTAATTTTCAGCTATATATGGATGACAGTTTTCAGTGTAAGTCAGAGCAGAGTGTTCATGTGACCTTCATCCCAATCTCAAATTTGTTCATCAAGAGAAAGATTTTATCAAATTTCAAGCTACTTATACAGCGAAAGGGATTGATGTCCCTATATAGATAGGACAATACTTACTCTTCAAAAGTTTGGTTATAATCGAAAGGTGGATCTAGAAAAACTCACTAACATGTAGACCAAAACTTGTAGAAGCATAAAGAACAATCTTTAGGGCTTTAAAAGAGGAGTCGTCATATGCAGGTGCGATAAAGTGAATCGATGAACCTACTTGATAGGAAGTAGACTAAGTCAAACTTTCTCCGTCATCAGCCGCTGAGGTAGAAGTTTTGGATTCCAACCATATTCCATGTTACTGTGTGAGCAGGAAAAACCTTAGTGAACATTTTTGTCTGTATAGAACATACACTACCACAATTACCAGCAAAGAATGAATCATAAAGTTTATTTATTTTCTTCTTTAAGATTGAATCAAACGACAATTGTTGGGTATGACTATCAGAAGAAGTTAACGTAAACGTATAAGATATCTAGTTTGGTTGAATGTTGGGCTATGTCTCCGTCAGCCTTTTTAACTTGAAACACACTAGGAAATTGCCTACATCAATGCGCTATGGCTCGCTGATCGAAGCATCCAACCTTTAACCAGTGGGCCACTAGTTCGAACCCCACTGCACCTACCAAGATCCAGACAGCTGGGTAATATCACTAGCCCTAGCCACAATACGTGTAATTCATTGTATATCGTAAGGAAAGTGCACTTAGTGGCTGAGTACACTCATACTTGATTAACAGAAAAAGGACTAGGTCAGAAAAACAAATACGTAAGGTCGCCAGATTGTAAGTAGTGATATCAATTCACGAAATCTCTGATTGTCAGTCTAAGCCATGCCCGGGCAAACTTAAGCTTCTTAAGCGATGCTCAGAATCAACCGAAGCAGTGAAGATACACGAACACATCTCTTACATCATGTATCTTTATTCCCTTGATTTTAACACTGTTAACGACTGCTGTATATCAATTATTTTTCTTTTCTTTGCTCTCCGTCTAGTTGACTTTACTCTTGATGATGCTGTTTACTCCTTCACTACATTAAATTGACTTTAAAATGATATTAAATATCTAACAAACTTAACTCTATGATTTTCAAATGGTGGAGTATATTTGTAGCTCAGTTAGATGGTCTTGGTTGTATTATGTTCTCTGAGTTGAATTGTTTAGTCGTGCAGCTTTCATTATCTTTCTTCATACTGAAGTTAGTGCTGATGATATCGTCTAGAAAGACGATGAAAGCTCCACGACTAAACAATTCAGCCCAAATAACACAATACAACCAAAACTTAACTCTAGTTATATGCTTTAGCAAGAAATCAATCTAAATTCATCTTGGAAACGCAATATTCACTCTTTAACCCTATATGTTCAATAATCACCTACTAATTACGACTGTAAATAAGGTAACCATTGTGAACAACACCAATTCCTTTTTATCTGTCTAACTATCTATAAAGAATATTTCTCAAGCTGTTATTCATCGAAGACTGACATCAGTTGGAGGAACAAAGGAAACCTGGGAGCACTGGACAGCTGTTTCGTCCTAGTATGGGACTCCTCAGCAGCGCGCACCCACGACCCCATCAGCAGGGATCGAACCCGCGACCTTCAGGTTCCGCGACCAGCGCATTACCATTGAGCCACTGGGTCAGAATCCAATGCTCCATATTTCTATACTAGGACGAAACAGCTGTCCAGTGCTCCCAGGTTTCCTTTGTTCCTCCAACTGATGTCAATCTTCGATGAATAACAACTTGAAATATTTCCAAATCTCCACAACCCCTCAAAATTTATCTATAAAGAAGCTTAAAGTTTGATTGAAGAGATAAGTAACTTGCTAACTGATGTATTGTCATTTGTTCTGATTTCTTTATAACAAAGCACAGAATATTCATCGATATTTATATATTTTGGAGAAGATAAAATGTAAAAATTTAAAGAAAAACAGTTTAAATTAGATAAAATTCCATGTACTATGCTCAATCCGATAGGATATTTAACAAAGAATCTAATGACAATATATATATATATATATATATATATATATATATATATATATATGATAACATACTCGAAAAGCGGTAGCATTATGAAACGGCGGCAAACTTTCACGGCTATATGATGACCGTGGGCTAGAATTATGTGAATCATCCAATATATGAATAGCAGAGGAAACACGATCGTTTTGCTAAATAAAAGAAAAACAGAGAAAATATCAAGAAATATGAATAACTAAGTGACTGCGGGACATGAAACGATATGAAAGCACCCATTCTAAAAACACTTATATACCTCCGTATATTTATAGCTTTACTTAACTGAATATTGTTGGTTACAAAATAGTGAAAATCTCAAGAGAAGAAAACAAAATAGCACAATATTAGAGAATAGACAACTTTATGGTGACAAAAAGTGAGGGACTTTGATTGTTGACATTCATTATCAGGGTTTACTTGCAGTCTGAAGACACAGTTTATGCCACACATCTTAAACTGAAATGTAAAGAAACTTGAGCCGCCAATCTGTAAGAAGGAACACTTTTCGTTAGTCACCCTTCATTGTTGAGTGTCAGTTATCTTTAAGCCTACGCTATCTCCTTTGTTGTTAGCTAGAAGCATTCTGCTATGTATAGATTAACAGCATATTCTGACATATTAAGAAACAATCTTATCGATAAATCATATTCTAATTAATAGCAATCAGCTGATAAAAAGTATACTAATCACTATTATAAATCAGTTAAATATAAGCCATCTCGAAATTGAACACAATAAGCAAACGTATGCATTTTTATACAGTAGGCAGTAAGCCACACACCTATTGTGCTAGGGTTAATGATACTAACTAGTGGGGCTCGAACCCGTGACCAACTAGTTGAAAGTCAATCAGCCACAACTCAACACCTTCAAATTTAAACCCTTATTGTTTAAATACTACTGATTTGCTTCTCAAAGTTGTACAATATGCTTTTTCTAATTAGGAGTGAACACTGAGTTAAACCAAGGAAACTGATATTATATTGTATGCCTATTTTCCTGGATAACTTGACATTATACTAACTTTTCTTTCTTCTTATAAATAAATAAACAGGATTTTTTTTCTTTCCCTCTTGGTGTTCACATCTCCTTATCGGATATTTTTAGTTTAAAGTAATTTGTTGTTGTCGTTTGTATCATCCCGTCGTTGAGTGGACTGAATTGATCGGTCTCTATTGGTATATGGGCTCTTCCGCGGATGCCTCGATATTGCATGTTTTGTTATAAATTATTGATGGATAGTGGCTAGCAGTGAAATCCAGGATGCGCTTTTCGTCCTATTTCGGACTCCTTAACTGGATGTATCTACCTCCAGAGAGTGACGTTGTTCCCGTTAGGACTCGAACTCAAAACCGATCGCTCCAAACGCTAGGGCGTTATCCACTAGACCACCTGGCATATATGCCAATAGAGATCGAATAACTCAGTCCAATCACCGACAGGATAATACAAACAACAACATTAAAACTATAACCGCTGCAAAAGAAATTGTTATCGTGGCTCGGTGGTTTAATACATAACGCTCTGGCAATAGAAGCAGTTGGTCCCGAGTTCGAATCACAGTAGGAACAACGTCACTCACTGGGAGGCACGTACATCCAGCTGACGAGTCCCGAATAGGGCGAAACGCGTATCGTGAATTCAACTGTTAGCCACTATCCATCATAAACTAGAGGATACACGTTGATTGGTTACTCCCCAATGACTAATCAATGTAAACGGATATGTGCTGTTTAAGCGATTTAACCACGGGTATCTTCGCAGCATTGGTTGCGAGTGGTAGAATTACCACGTTAGCAAATTCAAGCGAAGAGTAATAAGCAAGACAATCGTTGACCATCATCCACTGTGGTGGTTTGAACACCTGGTGTGCACGCCAAGCCACCGCCTACCTCAGCGTGCCATGCTAGGGAAATTCGATTGGGTTCGAATACGATTGAAATGGCCATACCAAAACGTGACACTATTCCAAGAAGTCTCTGACTATTAATCTGAGTCATGTGGTAAGACTTAGATTGCCTGGATGGATGCTCCGAGACAACAGGAATCAGTAGTTAGAGACTCTTGGTAACATGACTGGAAATCAGTCACAATCGCGGAGACGTATTCACTCCTTGACGTCTTATAGAGCTGGAATGTTTCTGCAACCTTCATGGAACTGATGTCCAATCTGGGATTCGAACTTGTATTACCTAGTGCTGCAGTCTGAGAAGTTATCACTGAGCTATTCACGCTGTGATTGACCGCCTATAAGACGGCGTAAGATAAACTGATTGGTCATGTTGTCTAGTGCTAAGTGGTGATCGAATTCTATCGAACATTTTACAAACCTAGTCTTTATTCACAAAACGTAAAGATCATCGATTGCCAACCATATGATATGTGACTATCGAATGTACTTATGATCCTATTTTCTAAACCATTTACAATTATTCACAAATTTTATTGCTCAAACGCCAATAAATATGGATGAAATCTTTGATACATAGTCCAAACTCAGTTGATCTCTGAGTTAGTTAACAACCACTTTTATGTGAATCTCGTTATGGATTGTTGTCGACTGAAGACTTAACGAAAACCTATTATCGTTGAACAGTTTTGTCTTATTATTATTCAAGACTCATCAGCAGTTCACACGCATGAATCTGTGAGAGTTAGTGACACAGACTTTCAGGTTCCATAGTGAGTAGGCTGAAGCGGGTTGGACATGTGTTGCGCGTGTCAAGCCACCACCACCTACCTCAAAGTGCCGTACTAAGAAAAGCTGGATTACGTTGAAATATCCCTCACTGGGGCGAGACCAAGACGTAACATCAGTCGATGAAGTCCTTTACTCTCATCCTGAGCCGTGTGGGTAGATCTAGACAGCCTGGTAGGGGCCGCCGAGACGAAAGGAATCAGTGGTTGAGGAATCTTCATGACGTGCTTGGAAATCGATGACAGTGGCGCAGATGTATACACTCCTTAACGTCTTCTAAAGTATATATTACCAAATTAACGACGGAATAGAATATTTGCTAATTAGCATCATTTGCAATAAACTGGTTAATTAAGTATAACTAGTCTAGGTATGCATAATATTAGTAGTTTGGGGTTATGTTGTAAACAAACTTGCTCCACTCTCTTGTTGCAAATGGAATTAGTGGCCATATAACTTTTCCAATATTGTGAAAAGCACGCGCATAGTACTTTCCATTCAAGCCATTCGAACATAGATCAATTACTGTTGACCTAATGATTGGTTAATACTAGTCAAATAACATATGAATCAAGTGGGACTCGAACAAACAAACTTGTGTAGCCAACTGGGTTATCTTGTTCCAATATTTTGCCCGTCGCTCATTTCTGGCAGACAGATAAGGGACAAGTATATTACAGCTGCCTATCACCCATGATATTCCTCATTGTGGTCGAATCAACTGGATCATGCAACAAACTGTGAGGAGCGTGAAGAGGGGCATACACTAAACCGATGAAAAGAGCCTAGAAGATTTGGATTTCGCCGACGATGATGATTTATGTCTAATGTCTTGTCGCACAAACTCGGAGATCTACAGGCAAAAACTAACAAGTTGACAGAAGAGGCACGGCAGTGAAGACGGGACTTGAAGTGAATGTAGAGAAGACAGAGGTGATGAAGATACCCAACAACAACAACAACAATAAGCACCAATCGCCTTCAATGGGAGAAATCTAAAGGAAGTAGTCTTTTTCACCTACCTAGGCAGCATCGTTTCAACTACATGCGGCACAGGCACAGATGAGGATGTCAAAGCCACGATCGGAAAGACAGCAAGACGGGCCTTCCTCCAATAATCTGAAATCAGTGTGGAGATCTACTGCACTCAGCATAATGCGTGAACAAAACCCGGGTTTTTAACACTAATGTCACTCAAGTGAGTGCTTCTATGTAATGGTTCAGAAACCTGGCGCTTCACAAAAAGCATTTTCAAAAAATACAGACATTCATCAATACCTGCCGCCTACGCTCACCCGACACTGAAGATTAGATGGCCAGAAAGAATAAGCAACAAGGAACAGTAACCTGGCAACGAACCAACCAACAACCTATTGTCCAACAAACATGCAGAAGAAAGAGGAGATGGATTGGGCATACACACTGAGAAGACCATTCAAGGATATCACGCGGTAGGCCGTCGAGTGGAACCTAGATGGGAAACGACAAGGTGGGTGTCAGAGGGTGATATGGAGATGGTGTGAGGAAGAAATGAAAGCTTGTGGGCAGTCGTCATGCCAGGTTGAAAAGACTGTAGAGAAGAGAGTAGAATGGAGACGTGTTACTGAAACCCTATGTTCCACTAGGAACCCAAGGGACAAATAATAAAGAATAAAAAAATTTACGCCTATTATCCCGAGACAATCTTTGAAATAGTATTATTGCTTGTATTATACCCTCGTTGATTGGACCGAATTGATAGGTCTCTATTGGCATATGGACTCCTGTGTAGATGCCTCGATATTACCTGTATTTTAATTATAGTAATGATAGACGAGTCCCAAATAAGACGAAATATGCATCCTGGATCCCACTGCTAGCCACCATCCATCATTACTATCATCTTTGGAATGTTTAAAAGAGACTATATTTCTTCATGTTAACAGATATGCCTGTAACAAGACTATTTTATCCAATATTATAATTTACTTGATGATGGCTAGCAGTGATGAAACACAGAATGTGTTTCTTCTTATTTAGGACTTATCAGTTGGATGTGCCTACACACCCTTAAGTAATATTAATCAAGCCAACTCTACCAAAAGACATCGATCAATTCAATCGAGTATAATAACAGTGAAGTACAAGTATCAACGCATAGTATTGATCTTCAATCGCTGAAATTAACATGTAGTACACTGTAATGTCAAGACATTTAATTGATCGATCACAATACACCCTTTAATCAATGAAACTTTTCATCAAAATCTAAAGGTAGACTATAATGTGTTACTTGGTATCCTGTGACTGATCGAAGAAAATTTAAACAGGATCTAATTGTTTTTTCCTCAAATATATTACACTTATGCAGCATATTTGGCAAGTGTATATGCATGAAAATCGTTTAAAAACTTCAGTTTTTACAAAATATGAATAGATATATAAATTGGTGCATATACTTAGCTGATGAGCCAT